ACGAAATCACTATTATTTGAAACTCAAAGTTATGTTTATTCAAGGTTCCCCCTTAATTAAAAGTGTTATATAATATCAGTATCACTTAACAGCATTCCTGCTTAGCAACCAAAATGTTGGGTCAAAAATTCTGGCATTTGAAGCACGCAAGTTTTAAACTTGACAGCTTTAGGACTTGTGGACTTCAACTCCCAGAATTCCTCCTCCAGGAATGTTGGTTCAGGAACTCTGGTATTGAAGTGTGCAAGTCTTAAAGCTGTCAAGTTACAAGACCCTTGCACCCCTAACCCTTTAGAACCCCTCCAACCCCAGGGGTGTTCAAACTTGACAGCTTTAAGACTTGTGGACTTCAACTCCCAGAATTCCTCCTCCAGAAATGTTGGCTCAGGAACTCTGGCATTGAAGTGTGCAAGTCTTAAAGCTGTCAAGTTACAAGACCCTTGCACACCTAACCCTTTAGAAAAAAAACCCCAGGGATGTTCAATCTTGACAGCTTTAAGACTTTAAGGTTTAGATAGGACTCTTAGAGGCAGGCGGGGCAATTGGTGGCAAGCGTGGTGTGGATGGGCGGCGGGAGGGAGCTTGAACCAGTTCTAAACGGCACAGTAGATTTGTATAACCTATTCTATAGAAGAGATTAGAACTGGCTGGAACCCACCCCTGCTGGGAATTCTGGGAATTGTAGTACTACTTCAGAAGCAACCCCTGAAGAATGGTTCTAATTTGAGACTTAGTTCTTTTGGTGCTTATTCATGAGTAAAATAAATTGATTCTCCTGTAGGGAAGTTCAGGAAGATGAGAGTGTTAAATAAGACTTTTTATGATCTGATGCAAAAAAAAGGTACTGTTTTAATATTCTGGTCAGTGTTTCAAAACTACCTAAGGTTTAGATGTTTTTCATTGCCAGGAATAATTCTGCAAGGCTGCTCAAGTCCTTGGAAACAGAGTCCTTGATATACAACTGAAAATGTGATTGCTTCTTTTACTTGTAACACCTTACTAGCATTTTCCTCCTCATTTCCATTGATTTGCTACTGTTGTATTTAAATCAGGGAAATGATGCTGGGTCTTTAGAGAAAATCATGTTTCTTTTCTTTTTGAAGTCAAACCTGAATCACAAGAGAAACAGGTATATTGGATTCTCTCTTTCATAGAGTAGCGCAAAATGACTTCCATTTTGAGCTCGGTCACCTCAGTCAATCTTGTTAAAAAAAAAAGCAAGTTCTAGCTCTTTTCTTTACAAAGTGGAATAACCCAGGTGAAAATCGTAATCTAACAGTAATGACCCTGATACAGCCTCGCTCAGGTTTTCAAATGTCGTTTTTTCATGACTCAATTCCCTATGAAATGATGGGGTGGAAAGCAGAGTGGAGCTCAGAGAAAATAGGATGCCTACAAATCTTAATTGTTTCCTGCAAAAACTTTTCTGTGGTTTTAACTCATCCTGAATTTGCCCTCCTCTCTTCAATCCCTCAGTTATAGAACATCTTAGTTCTAGCCTGACACTCCACTATGAAAAAAATCTTCAACTAACAGTGAAAAATGACAGGCAACCGGCACCTATAATTTACACTTTGTAAAACCCCGCTGATTTTATTGGGGCAGTCCTTGACTTAGGACCATTCATTTAGCAACCATTCCAAATGACAACAGCTCTGAAAAAAGTGACTTACAACTGATTCTCACACCTATGACTGTCACAACATCCCTGTTGTCATGTTATCATAATTCAGAGGTTTGGCGACTGGCATGTATTTTACACCCAGAGTCATGTGATCACCACTTGCAACTTTCCCAACCAGCGTCCGACAAAGTCAATGGGGAAAGTTAGATTCGCTTAATGATTGCATTGGTTCCTTTAACTGCAATGGTTGGCGTAACAACTATTGCAAAAAAGGGTCATAAAATCAGCCATAACTCACCTAACAACCATAAATTCTGGTTCCCAACTGTGATCATAGGTAAGGACTATCTGTACCTCTTCTTCCAGAAAGGATATGTTGCTTTTTGCACAGCTGTTTGAAGTGACTACCTAATGTCACAAGATATGGGCAAATCAGATGAAAGGGATGAATAATTTGTACAATAGGGTGGAGCGTTTTACCAACCAATGGCAGCATTTCCATTGGAGCTGAGGAACAGATGGCTACCCATTAGCAGAAACCTCTCTTGTCTTGCATTCTAATTTCCTGGGATGTTTCCCTAGCTTTTCCCCCTTTCCTCTGGCCTAAGCGATGTGGTGTCTTGCCAGTGTCCCTCCAACGTCATTAGCTGCTAAAAACCTGTCCCTATTTTTTTTCATCACATGAAATATGAACACAGCAGTGAATCAGAGCAGGAGCAGACATTCTGCTTGTAACCTTAGTTTGTCTCCATCTTCTAGACAGTTAGAAGGCATGCTAATTGGTTCCATGGCAGATTAGAACACAGTTATGAGTGGAAGATTTAAGGAAGTGTTTCTCAACCTTGGCAATTTGAAGATGGGTTCTCTAGCTTGTTGGCTAGAGAATTCTGGGAGTTGAAGTCCACCCATCTTCAAATTGTCAAGTCTGAAAACACTGATCTAAGACCAATGGCTTCTGGCCTTTTGGGAAAAGATGACTAACTAAGATAGATTGGTATCCTCATTCCAAGCCAGCATCCAGAGAATATACAGAATAAGGAGAAGGAGCCATAGAATTGCTAAACAGTTAATAAACTTCAAAGGCCAGTAGATTTGTTAAATACTGCATAATAACCTCTTGTTATTTGTGGTTTTCTAATCAGGGGTGGGCTTCAAACATTTTGGCAATTCTGTGCCAGTTGCTGGGTGGGCGTGGCCATGGTGGGTGTGGCCTAGTCAGCCTCCTGCACCATGGCAGCAGGGGAGCGTTTTTGCCTTCTCTGGGCTCTGGAGGCTTTTCTTGAGCCTCTGGAAGGGTGAAAACAACCTCCCCAAGCTCCGAAGGCCCTCTGGAGGCCAGAAATGGGCCCGTTTCCAGTCTTTCTGAACTTTCGGTTGGCCTGTTTTTTTGCCCTCCCCAAGCCTCCACACACGCCCTGCACTTAACTGCATCCAAAACGGGCCTCATGGGGACTCCTAGGAGGGGTGGGGTGGGCAGAGCCAGCCAGGAGTGGGATTTGGAGAGTCTCCGAACTGCGCAGAATCTTAGCTAGAGTTCTCCTGAACTCCTGCAAACCTTCAGCAGCCCACCCCAGTTTCTAATGCAGTGTTTTTATTTTAGTTTCCACGAATCTCGCGACATCTGTGTGCCCTCCTTGGAGTAGGGTAAGATAACTTTATGGTGTTTTCTTCTTTTTTTAAGTTTAACATTTCCATTGGGTTATAATATAAAATAAGATACAAAATAGGAAAGTAAATAGGAAAATGGTGGGGAGGAAGAGAAGGAAGAGAAGGATAAGAGAAAAAGAAACATTGACTTCCAACTTTCTCTGTTACAGTAAAATAAAGCATTAACGTCAAATCATGACTTTTTGTTTTTTTCATAATAATATGAACAAGCCGTTTCTATAAAGAGCTATCAATCTAATTGGAAAACCCAAGATCAAAGTTTCATTCTTTTCCACTTCAAGCACAAAATTCAGAAGCGGTCTCTATGTGGAAATATAAGTTCTTATATATATTTTTCTTTAATCAAAATAGTCAATTTTGCCATTTCAGCCAACTCCATCAACTTCCTATGGTGTTTTCTTGAATGGGTGCTGATATCCCGCAATATCAGCCTTTGGATTTACTGTGTGCCTACTATTTTCCAAACTTCTGCCAAATCATCCATTTAGTTGAGATTTGCTGGTTTATACCTGGGACATGGATAAGAACAGCATAATGGAACAGGGCAGGGGTGGGTTCCTGCTGGCATTACTACTGGTTTGATGCCCACATGTGTGCGCATTTGCTCTTTAAAAGGTCTGCGCATGTGAACACCATTAAAAAAAGGAGGGGAATTACAATATTTTTCAGAGTATAAGACGCACCTTTCCACCTCAAAAAAGAGGCTGAAAATCTGGATGCATCTTATACACTGAATACAGCATTTTTTTTGCCTCCTGAAACCCGCCCCCTTCACCAAAATGGCTATGCATAGCCTCCAGGAAGCTTTCGGAGTGCTCCTGGGTGCTGGGGGGGGGGGCAGAAATGAGCAAAAAATGGGCCAATTTTTGCTCAATTTTGCCTCCCCCCTCAGCCCCCAGGAGCTCTTTACAAGCCTCCTAAAGGCTATTCATGCCTTGACAAAAAACAGGTCCGTTTTCACGAAAAATGGGTCGTTTTTGGGAGGTCTGCAGAGTGCAAAAACTTTTTTTTATTTGCCTTTTCAAAATATTGGTGCGTCTTATAGTCTGAAAAATTCGGCAATTTTTTTCAATGAAGATTGTTCTGTGCATATGCAGAACAGAAAATAAAGATGGTGGCGCCCAGGATAGAATGGGTAGTGTAATGTGTCCAGCTGAGTTACTGCCTATTCAGCCGAACCGGGCCAAACCGGTAGGAACCCACCTCTGGAACCTGGTGTCTTTGCTCTAAGAAGTTATGTTTGGGCAATTAATATAAACATTTAAACTTTGAAAAGTGGTCATGCTACATTCCCTGCAGCAGAGGACAGCATTACATTGGCCATTGTACTGCATTTCACAGAAGTTGGACATGGGAAATATTTTAATTTGAATAATTTGGAACAATCATGAAATCAGGGTGGGATCCTACTGGTTTAACAACTGGTTCTCTGAGTGTGTGCTTCGCTGGTCCCTGGTGCCCAAAAGGTTGCTGAATTAGGAGATGGGACAAGCTATTAAAATCCCTTTCAGTGAGAATATACATAGCCTCCTTAAGTACAGACCAACAACATGTTTAACAGTTGGTGCACAAGTTCAGAGGAGGATGACAAAGATGCAGGGACTTCAAGACATAAACTACTATGCAAGGACAATGGAGAAACTTAATTTGAAGAAGAGGAGACTGAGGGAGATAGGATCTCACTGCTCAGGTACACAGAAATATATTGTTGAGATTAGGAGACTAGGACCAGAAATGATAGATATAAGTTGCAGCTATCTAGATTTCCTTTCAATATAAGAAAAGAATTCCTGAATAGAAAAAAATGGAAGAAGAATAGCAGTCTGAGTATGCTGGATAGGATAATTTGGTGGTTGTTGTTTTTTCTATTACATAGAGTTGAACGAGATTATCTTTACGGTCCCTTCCAACTACACAATTTTATGATTCTATGTCATAACTATTTTGTTGATCTTTTTTTAGTATGCTAATGTTGATCTTCATGATTTCTTCAAATTCTAGGTCAGTCCAAAAACTCTGGAAGAACAATGTGGATCGGATGGTGAGTCAGCTTGTTTATGTCACTTGGCCAACGATTCTAATTCTCTCAGATATTTCCCAACCAGAACAAACAAAAGAGCTGTTTCTTTTTAGATGAATGCAGCCCTGGGTTTATTTTTGTACTTTTCAATGCTGAGCAGAAAGAATAAAAAAGAATAGGTAGCAAAGCCCCTTACATTACACAATCTTCCCATAGGATTATCCTGTATATTATGGATTCTAGAGTTATAGTTGAAGCAAACTCCTTAATGGCTTATGTATGGCACATCAGTATGCAATGAGACTATTGTTATTTCCTGTAACACATGTCACCAGATAGTTTTAAAGTGGCCAAACATGATGACCTAATTGGATTGGATGGTGAAATGGAGAAACACTATATGAAGTTTCTCAACTTCTTCTCCACTCATTCCTGAGCTTGCTCGCAAAACAACAGTTTCATAGCTAAATAGAATTAGTGAAGAGGTGGGTTTTATTCTTAATATACAAAAAATGAGAACTTAGAGACACAAAGTCGGGCATTTATTCTTATGCACTATGACTTCTAGGTTCCAATTTAATTGGCAGTAGCCACATACTGTATGTCCTGTGGGGCATCATATAGTAGGACAAGTTGAAGCTCAGGACTTAACCAAGCCTTCTACTTTTTTATCAGTACAATGTACAGATTTTTTTTTATTGGTACGATGTTATCTGTAACAGAAAAATTGCTGAATTTGTGGGGGTGGATGGGACTTCATAAAAATACATTGTTTTTTTATCAGTAAGCTCTCTGATTATTCATCAGATAGGGCAAAACCTATGTTTGAACTCTCAAAGATATCAGGATACATTCCTCTTTCCCTGATCAGGTTTATTTCAACTCTAAGGACAAGATCCTAGATTAACTCTGAGAAAAACTTCATTAAACTGAGTATATTATTTTGCAAGTAAAAAGCTATGTCATACCTCTTCGTTAGGGATAATTCCAATTGAATTTAATGTATAAAGTATGTTCCCATCATATTAATAATCCCAGATCCTAATTTAACTGTCTGTTCCTTCTTGTAATACAGGCATCCTCCTAAGCATATACAAAGTTGCTAATTAAGCAGAAGTAAACATGCCAATTACTATTGCATTATTACATTTCAACATCTGTTTGCCCAGACCATTCAGATAATTACCTATTGTTGCTATTTATTAACTCATAACCTGCCCTCAATATAATAATCTATCAGCACTTGTCCTCCATCTTAACATTCTGTTTTTCCAATATTGATGAATGTTGACTGACTTCTTGAATCTGGCCACTTTAGATGCATGGGGACTACAACTCCCATAATCCTAGACAATAGATATGCTATACACTTCTGAAAAGGGTAAAGACTGGGGTAGGCTTCTTTATCATTACACAAAATTAATCTGCACAAAGGTTAGGTTTAGTTGATCTTCTGGGATTTATTTGTTCAGATCAAAGCTTAATATGACCTCCAACTCTTTTAAAAATGCATTTGGCAGTACCCTCTGATACTGGGAGTGTCAGATAACATGCAGTTGGATAAATGATATAGGTTAAACATTCACAGTATTTGCTGATAGTTATTATCTCAGATAGTTATTAGCTCAGATAATAACTGAGATAACATAATATTTTTACTATGATCTTTGTGCCTATTTTGGAATTAGGGCCATTTTTCCTTTGCTGATTAAACTAGAGTCCACATTTGAAAACTTGAATGATCCTGCAAACAGTCTTGGGAGACTACATATTTCTAATTTACTTTTTTGTGGGGAGAGGTTAGAATGTAAGGTCTGATTTGGTGGGAGGAAGAGATATTTTATCCCAAAGTGAACTGGTGAAAGGTATCAGCTGGATAAAACAGAGATAGGTAAATCCTGGAGAAAAGAAATTAAAGAGATAAAGTCTCAAGGACCTTTCATTGTCTCTTGGCTTGAAGTCTTTAAATGCTGCTCGTGGCACATGTTTAAGCCCAAAGCTTTGTTTAGCACTCATCAAATTTTTATCCTTAGTTGTGAGAGCAAGAAACTTCAGTGCTTTTCTTTTTTAACATTCTACGCTAACTTGCAAGAATCCTACAGGGGAGGCAATGCTTCTCTATCTTTATGGGAGAAAATACGGTCTGCAATCTTGAAGGAAGCTCTGGTTTGTTCCCATCCTTAAGATACATTCTTTGGGTTCAGGCAACCTTAACAATTATTGCCCCATCTTCAATCTCCCCTTGTAGAAGACATTGTTGAGAAGATGGTTGCAAATCAGCTACAAAATGTGCTCCCAATGGGCTATCTGATTTCCTTTCCATTAGTTGTTGGCCATAGGAGGAAACTGCCTTGGTTGTGCTAGTGGATGGACAGTGAAATAAATCAGATAAATCAGATTAACAGAGTTGTAAGGGACCTTATAGGTCATCTAGTCCAACCCCTCCCTCAAACAGGAGACCCATTCTGACAAATGGCAGTCCAATCTCTTCTTGAAAGTCTCAAGTGATGAAACCCCCACAACCTCCGAAGGCAAACTGTTCCATTGATTGATTGTTCTCACTGTCAGAAAGCTCCACCTTATTTCTAGGTTGAATCTCTCCTTGGTCAGTTTCCATTCATTATTCCTTGTCTGGCCTTCGGTTGCTTAGGAAAATAGCTTGACCCCTTCCTCTCTGTGGCAGCCCCTCAAATATTGGAAGACTGTTATCATGTCTTCCCTGGTCCTTCTCTTCACTAGACTAGTCATGCCCAGTTCCTGTAACCATTCTTTATATTCTTAGTCACCAGTCCCCTAATCATCCTGGTTGCTTTTCTCTGCACTTTTTCTAGAGTCTCAACATCTTTTTTACAGTGTGGTGAACAAAACTGGATGAAGTCCTCTAGGTGTGGTCTTATTAAGGCTTTATAGAGTGGTATTAGTGTTAATTAATGACCGGGGGGGGGGGGGACAGACGGACTATATTCCTAGGGGCAACCAACATCTGAACAGATTTCAAGATCATCAACTGGTAACCCTTCTGAAGTTTGGAATCAGAACTATTATCTTTCAGTGGTTTCTTTTTCCTGAGTTGACAGTTCCAGTCAATTGTAGGAAAGGAAAAGGGATTGATCCAGCAACTATTTATTTGTGCCCTAGTTATGAGTAGCTGCTCCTATTGTTTAATACCTACATCAGGGGTGTCAAACTCATGGTCCATGGGCCAGATGCGTCACATGCTGGCCATGCCCACCGACAGTTTAGCAAAGGGAGGGAAATTACGATACGTCATGTGACGACAATGTGATGTTGCAGGTTTGACACAGTGGTGGGTTTCAAAAATTTTTAGAACCTCTTCTGTAGGTGTGGCCTGATTTGTGGGAGTGGCTTGCTGGCCATGTGACCGGGTGGGAGTGGCTTGCCAACCATGTGACTGGGTGGGAGTGGCTTGCCATCCATGTGACTGGGTGGGCATGGCCAACTTGTAAAATGTGATGAAACTCGCTTAACAACGCTCTTGCTTAGCAACCAAAATTTTGGCTCAGAAACTCTGGCATTTGAAGCACGCAGGTCTTAAAGCTGTCAAGTTACAATACTCTTGTACCCCTAACCCTTTAGAAAAAAGAACCCCAGGGGTGTTCAAACTTGACAGCTTTAAAACTTGTGGACTTCAACTCCCAGAATTCCTCCTCCAATTATGTTGGCTCAGGAACTCTGGCATTGAAGTGTGCAAGTCTTAAAGCTGTCAAGTTACAAGACCTTGCACCGCTAACCCTTTAGGAAAAAAACCCCAGGGATGTTCAAACTTGACAGCTTTAAGACTTGTGGACTTCAACTCCCAGAATTCCTCCTCTCGCTCTTCATCTTGATGGTGTGCGGACGGGCAGGGGGAGGGAGTTGGAACTGGTTCTAAGCGGCACTGTAGATTTGTGGAACCTTTTCTATAGAAGAGGTTAGAACTGGCAGGAATCCACCCCTGGTTTGACACCTCTGACCTACATGAAGCTGCTGGATAAGTCATCCTTCAGAGTAGGGTATTGTATCCACAATATGCTGGCTATATCCACTGGTACATGCCCATTCTGCATTTTTCTGGCATTTCCATGGAAGTCTTGAACTAGCTCCTAGAAGCCATAGGGACTAGATGGGATAAAGGAGGCTGAAATTGAACACATCGATCACTTTGTGTTGATACTAACATTAGGCTCTTATACACCACCCATTGTATTTTCTTTCATTCCAGGCTTACCGTGATGAATTCATTGCAGAATGGAGAAAGTTGAAGCTGGATGTTGTGCTTTGTCCTGCTTTGGGCCCAGCCTTTAATTTAGGATATCCTGGCAAACTATTTGGTATCAAATCATACTTCCATTATACTCTCTCTGTGTACCTTGTTCTTTTGCCTATTCTAAGAAGGGTTGGATTCCAGGGGTGTGAAAAAAACAATAACCCTGCAAGGTGGATTACGTGCACTGCTCCTTCTTTTTGAAGCTCTGACATCATTCTTTTGATCACTCCAGCTCCTGAATTGATTGGGAGGAGGGCACTGTCAGATGAGGCCCCAGATGTCAGTAAGCCAAATTTCAGTCAAATCAAATCTTTATTATGGTCTTATACAAGCATAAGGAGAGTGGAGTACAATCAATTAAAAATCCTGGAAAAATACATCACAGTCTTAAAAAATTAAAGAAAAAAATAGAAGACATTAAAACAATATGTGTATGTGTGTACACACACACACAACATATAAACAAACTGTAAGAAGGGGTAGGAGCATTAGAGCATTTTATTAGAACATAAAATATTAGTATGTAGAAGATTATAGTCATCAATTTATAGAGCATGGTGCTCTATAACTAGGTGCTCATTAAGCCCAGATTCAATTTGTGCCATCAAATCTCCCTTGCTGGAAAGCATGTAGAATGAATTAAGAAACTTTTCACAGGGCAGGTGATCAAACGATATAATAAAAATGTAGCTTCCTGACAGTGTAAAATAAAAGTGAGCTTTCTAAAAGCTGCTTTCTAGATAATAATGGTAGTAATGCAATAAAATAATAGATAGATTAATAATAAAGCATAACAGCAATCAATTCAGAACTGATTAATTTAGTTCTTCAGAAGATCAGGCAAATCAGAAAATGCATACATATGTACATACATACTATATGTTACTTTCTTAGATATGACCTTGGTTGATAGGGGTGTCTCTTGATGAGTATATCAGCTGAGTAAAGTCACTTCTGGACTATCTACTCACCCGCATATCCTACTTGCTCCTGTGAGTAGATAATCCATTTCCTGTTTCTCAAGGGTAGGAACCTTTTACCCAGACTGTTCTGAAGACAATCTCCACCCATCTTTTCTTGCTCTGCATAAGAAGGGTTGGTTTTTTTTTTTAAAATCTTCTACCAGCATAAGGGGTGCCATGAGGTCCATCTGTTGTGCTTTATTACATTTTGGCAGGACACTTGCTCAAATGGCTAGTGTGCACTGTGGTGAGAACATTTTTCCATCAACTACTTTGTTGCCTGCCTGCCTCTGAAAGCCCTTTCTACAGAACACCAAAGTGTGCTTAGAACTACAAGGCACATCCCAGGCCGTGCACTGACTTCCTATCTACACATAAAAACACCAATGATTTGGGAAACAGGTTCGACATTCATGAGTTATCCACAATTGAATAACTCCAGTGATGTGGGTTGAGTATACCCTTTAGAGTTCTGTTAAGAGTTCATCGGTGAACTGAAAGGCCTTTCTTTTTGAAACTGGGTTCACGAGTGGATCCATGAAATGCTAGATAAATGAGTGAAAAACATCAAACATTGGATGAACTGGGATAGGGAAGGTTGAAGGTTTCTCATTGAAGGTAGAACCAACCGAAGATTCTGCAAATAGAAAGTATGTGTCACAGAGACCTACCCTTAGAAAGGAAAGCACTTGGTGTCCTGACATAGATAGAGTACCCATCAGTCAGACATTATGGTAACTGTAGTCCAAACAGATCATTGCCAAGGGGAAGGGATGGACCCTGCTTCAGAGGGGAGGCTAAACTAGCTTTTTCCCATTGGATTTACCTTGAGGCCCAAGCAGCTTATGGTTGCCAAGTGGCACAACCCTAAGTATCCATCCAGAACAATTTTGCAACTGTTCTTAGAGTCATTTCAGATGATTTGTCGAATGATAAAATAATGCAAGGCAAGTATCAGGCAGCCCTGACATTTCGGGTTCATTTCCTTATTTCTCAAAAATTAAAAAAAAATCCCTGAAGAGAAGATGATGATGCCATTTCTCCGCAAGCATTAGATCTTTTTCCACACTTGTAAATTGCTCCAATTTCCTCACCAGAAAGCTATTACCCTGAAGCATAGCTCTCTTGTTGCTATATTCGTGTAGTTATATAGCAGTTGTGGACCTCAACTCTAATAAAAAGGAAAATGGTTCTGAAAACATTATGTTTTCCTCCTCCCTTGTTCAGGACAAGCTACAAATGATGCTGGCAATCTTGAGCATATATTCAACATATTTTATTTGATGGTTTTCTCATAAAAGCCACAGCCTTCCACCCCTTGGGCAACTGCATCACTGCCAGCATATTGTGTTTGCGCTGATGGCATCCACCCCATATGGCTTCCTGGCTTGTGGAGGATGGAACTGAGTAACATCTGTGGGCTGCAGAATGGATTGTATTGTTACGCTATTAATATGTTACAGTCACAACATGATGGCCTGATCCCATTGAGAAATAAATAACTTGTATATGGTGTCTTTTCCAGTGGCTACTACTTATACCCATCTATATAATGTCTTGAATTTTCCTGCTGGAGTTGTACCAGTCACAACAGTTACACAAACAGATGAAGAGGAGTTGAAGCATTACAAAGGGCATTATGGAGATTTCTGGGATACAAGAATGAAGGAGGTTAGTGAACAGCAAGAAATGCAATTGCCATATATGGGAGTCAAGATATTGCTGAAATCTTCCCTTTGCAATAGAAAATGTTAGCAGAATGGTTCCTTCCTGGCTGCTCCTCTGAAACCGGTGAAATTTGGTGACTGGTTTCCTTTGGAGAAATTTGAAGAACAGTCTCTTGATAAAAATTCAAAGTTGCTTCGATTCCAGAATGAGCCAACTCATCATGACCAACTCTCTGCAGCCAACTCACCATGGCCAACTTGCTGTGGGACAACTCAACGTGGCCAACTTGCCATGGGACAACTTGCCATGGGACAATTTAACAATTTAATTTAATTATTTAAAATAAATAAAAAATATTTACATTTTTGTCATACATTTCATTCTCTCCCTCCTTTTCCATCCTTTCTTTAATGATTCTATTCTTTTCTTTGATATTAGTGTAACACTTCTGCAGTGAGTTGTCCCACAGCAAGTTGGCTGTGCTGAGTTGGCCATGTTGAGTTGGCTGTGGAGAGTTGGCTGTGGCTTTGTTCATTGGCTGCATTGAGGTTGAGTTGGATCCCTGTTATTACTAAAGAAAATTGTTGTCAGCCTCTGCTTTGCTGCTGCTTCGGCTGCCATTGAAACGGGGAGGGGGGGCATGGTATTTGGGAGAGGAATACTAATTGTGCTGGAGGAAGATTCTGGAGTTTCTGCTGCCTGTCTTACTGTGCATGTGGAGGAGGTTTCCCGCCAAGGCCAACGGCACCGACATTCCATCTTGGTGATGCCTTTCGAAGTTATCTCACACCTGACACTTAGGAGAATTATGATTGGACTGTAACTGGGATGCCAAGGGGTGGGGAATGGGTTATTCTATATATCATTTGCTTTCGCGCCTAAATAATCAGTCTTCACTTTGCTACGCTTCTAATCATTTATAATTAGTAAAAGTACACTTGATTTCTATCAGTGGAGTCTCGTGGTTTTCTTTCCTAATTATTCAATGGAGGAGTGCTGACAATTGTACTTTAATTTAAGAATATTTTTTCCTGATTTGAGCATGAGTCTATTTAATTGAAATAGGTCCTACTGAGTTATAAAGGACTTTTATCTCCTTTAAGGGAATTTGAGCTATAGCTTGGCATGATCCTATAAGATGTGACGCTGCCAAAAATATAGATTTGAATAGGCTGAGAATTCTGGTGACTTCATTGACATGACAATATTGTTGGCAGTAATATTGTCAGACTGCATTTGCATTTGAGCCTTTTTTGCTATGGAAAATGCTCATTGGAAAAGACGTTATGCCTTTATGGTACACCTCTAGCTCGGCCCTGTACAACTTTATTATCAGATTCAAATGATGTAATGATGTAAAGGTTGCTAAACTTTATTTAAAAGAACAATTATTTCCATTCACATTTTTTCTTCTATTTTTCTGATTGATGATTGCAACAAAGATCCATCCATCCATCCATTCATTCTTGGCAGTAAAAATCAGTCAGCGACTTCCTTTGCCTAGTTTGTTGTTGTTATTGTTGTTGTTGTTGTTGTTGTTACATTCTAAGATTTTCTGGTGGTAGATACTATAAATACTAATTCTGCTTTTTTATGGTCAGCCAAGAGTGACTAGAAGCTGCTACCTAGCTGACTATATAATATTGATTCTGCTGCAATATCTAGGTTAAAGAATTCTTTTAGCATTGGGATCCTATTTTATTGGCAGTCCTATGTTGCACACCTCAAAATCTGTAATATTCTAGCTCTTGTAAGCATCATTCACATGACAATGGTTATGGGTGGGTGCTGGATCAATGCATCCCATTAGATATAAGAAGGTACTTCTGCTTACTTGCTGCTAATTTTCAAGTCTCATTGAATTCAAGGACTGATTTTCAGTCAAGAAGACTGATGAATACGTTGAGTATTGTCTTATTATTCTTGCTTCTCCTATAGGCTGTGGAAGATGCTGTGGGGCTCCCTGTAGCAGTCCAGTGCGTGGCCTTGCCATGGCAAGAAGAATTGTGTCTTCGGTTCATGAAAGAAGTGGAGAGAGTTTCCCATGGGAGATGGGGAAAGAGAAAAATATGATTCTGTCAGAAAGAAGGCTGCAAGGAATGTTGACCTTTCTAAATAAACTTTATATTGACTTATGCAGTTTATTGCTGGGTTAACTCAGTTATATTTTCACCAATTTTCAGCAAGATACGATATAGAGAGATTAGAAGATATGGTTTAGAAAGTAGAGAATTATTAGTAATGTTTTGTAATTAGGGCTAAATAAAGCATATGGACAACAGGATTTTCCAGACTGACTCCTTTAAATTATACTATCACTTCAAAGGTATGATGCAATTATTCTGTCATTCCTTGTGTTAGATCGGGTAAAGGAAGGTACACAAGGCTCCAGTAACAACAGCTCTTTATTGCAAGTCAAGTAAACATTCAGCTGGAGACGGGTCAGGCAGCATCCCCTTTTAAAGGTATCTGTCAGACCTCTTGATCAATGGGATTAAACCTCTGTTCCCGCCGGAACAGAGGACCTTGGTGGAAACCTCTATTGGGTGGGGGGGGGATATCTAACACCTTCATCAACTATTGGGACTTTTGAGAAAGCTATCAATGGAAAATGCTAGTGTCAGTAAATTCTGTACTGTAAAATTCTGTGAATGAGATAAGTTGATTGTGCAATAAAAACCTTTTCTGTAAATCAGAACAGATGAATCCCAAAAATTATTTGCAAAACTGAAATGAACATGTTAGTTCTATATGAAAAAAAAACATTGCAAGATAGATTAATTTTCCAAAAGAATGAATGGAAAGTACACAGAAGGAAAGATCATCTAGAAGTTGCCTGAATCATGGTAAAAAGAATTATAATACAGAATGTCACAAACATTTGTGGACGTATACTAAAGGAAGCAGTGACGTGCGGTGAGGTTTATGGCTGGTGAGGCAAGCGGGCAAAAACTGCCCTATATTGGACACAGTGGCAGGGCTTTTGAGACGTCCAAAAGAGGTGTCCAAAAGCCCTGCCGCTGTGTCTGACATAGAGGCATCCCTCCTCTATGGCGGACACAGCGCCAGGGCGTCCAAAAGCCCTGCTGCTATGTCCAAAAGCCCTGCCGCTATGTCCGACATAAAAAAGTGCCAGCGCGCGCGCCAGCACAGGCAAATAAAAAAACACACACACACACACACACAAATTACTTACAATAATACAATTACTTACAAATTACATTAATTTTGAATTCCTCCCCCCCCTCCAACCCACATACCTTTTCCAGCTATTTCACAGAGGATTTCAACTCTGCTCTTGTCTGCCATGATGAAAATGTAAAAATGTAAAAGGAAAAAGTTAAGAGCTGCTGAGGTCAGGCTGGGTTAGCTGCTGCCAGAGTCCCCAATGGATGACTCTGCTTAACTGTTTAAAAAAGCCTCTAAAAAAAACACCCTCTACAGGAGGAGGCGAGAGAACCACGTGCCTCATCTACATAAGGAATTTTTCAGCTTTTAACCATTGTTTAACTCTGTTCGAGTGATCATAAAAATAGACTAAATGAGGCACGTGGTTCTCCCACCTCCTCCTTAGAGGGCACTTTTTTAGAGGCTTTTTTAAACAGTTAAGCACTAAGCAGACTCATCCACTGTGACTCTGGCAGCAACTACCTCAGCTTTTTTCCTTTTACATTTTCTTTTCTTTTCATGATGACAGTGGTGAGGCCCTGCCTCCCCTGCCTCCCCTGACTGCACGTCACTGAAAGGAAGCTTGGAAAAGGATATTTGGTGAAATAAAGCAAAAAAGGGTTGTAGAAGGATAAAAAATAAATATAATGATATTAAAATGAATATAAAAGATAGATTCATGTGCATATAGAGAAAATACAGTTCCAAATAATATGGGTCAAAGAGAATGAGGCATGGTTAAAATTACAGTGGTAGACAGAGAAATGTAGATTGATTCTCAGACCAAGACAGAATTAAATTATTACTTTGGAAGTGGGTGAAGTGGGCTACAAAAGAAAACTACAGAAAAATAAGTGGAATTAAAAATGCTGGAAGAAGCATTTGGAAAAAAAGTGGTGTGTCAAAGAATGGAATTGAAACAAATACAGTGGTGGACTCAGGGGTGGGTTCCCACCAGTTCTAACCTCTTCTATAGAAGAGTTTACACAAATCTACCGTGCCGTTTAGAACTGGTTCCAGCTCCCTCCCCCTATCCGATCGTACACCATCAAGATGAAGAGTGAGAGGAGGAATTCTGGGAGTTGAAATCCACAAGTCTTAAAGCTGTCAAGTTTGAACACCCCTGGGGTTTTTTTCTCAAGGGTTAGGGGTGCAAGGGTCTTGTAACTTGACAGCTTTAAGACTTGCACACTTCAATGCCAGAGTTCCTGAGCCAACATGACTGGAGGAGGAAATCTGGGAGTTGAAGTCCACAAGTCACTCCCACAAAACAGGTCACACCTACAGAAGAGATTCTAAAAAAACTTGAAACCCACCACTGGGTAGGCTGCAGCTGGTTCGCACCAGTTCAGGCGAACTGGATGTTAAGATTCTGCTTAGTTCAGGGAACTGGCATATCCCACCACTGGCTGACTTCTCCCCCTCCCCCCTCCCCCCACCTGGGGTTGCCATTCATGGTGGGGAAGTTGCAGGGGCCTGACTGCGAGCCACACTGATCAGCTGGGAGGCTGTGCAAATGTGAATAAACCTGCAGCGCTGATCAGTTGAGAGGCTGCCACCCCCTGAAGCCCAAAAGAAGACCATGTGACCACCAGTTTTTAAAAAAGTTCAGTCAGACCTTCCAATTTCATGGGATATTTTTTCCACCCCTGAGAAGTTGGAATGTCTGACTGAACTTTTTTTAAACTGAAAGTCTTCTTTTGTTGCCCTGCATGCAGGAGAACAGAGCTGGAAGGCAGGTTATTCAGGGAATGGGATGGGGTGGGAGTGAGGATTTTGTATTATCATTGGTTTGGAATGTGGTGGAAGTCAGGATTTTGCATTATGATTGTTCATAAGTAAGAACCAGTAAATGAGGAATGGAAAAATCCCTAATCTGTAGATCAGTGTTTTTCAGTCTTGGCCAGTTTAAAATGGGCGAACTTTATGCTGCCTTGGGAATTCTGGAATTGAAGTCCATGCACTTTAAAATTGCCAAAGTTGAGAAGAATGGTTCTACACTACAGCTTAGGATTTTCCATTCCTGTTTTATTTAGCGTTTGGTGCAATTAAATAAATCAGTTTCAGTTTCCCTAACAAATAGTGATTAAAGCGATATGAACAATTACTGGATTTTTTGTGAGAAACAAATTAAAAGTTAATCTGGGCTTTGATGATTAGAGATGGGATTATGGAAATAATATAGACAAATGTTAATCTTAGAATAAGAGTTTGATATATTTTTACTTATATCTGTACCAAAGAAAGTTGGAAGTCATTCTTTTTTGGTTTTCCTTCTATTCCTCTTTCTTTCTTATACTTTCACTCTTTTTTTCCTGAGCCTTTTTTTTCAAATCTGTTTTTTATTCATTTATCCCTTAGCCTTGTATTTTTTTATGTATGAAGGATAAAATACTCAGCCATTATAATTCTACATTCCTTATTTATAGAAATCATATCAAGATTTAGAATGAAATCCACTGGGAGCCATCTCATATAAGGCAGGCTCTGAGTCTCTAACCAAAACGTTTATCGATAGAAGAGAATATTTGTAGCTTAGGGTTGAACTATAGGGTCCTTGGTGCTCTCTGAGCTTGATGGTTTTCTTGCAGATGTTTCATTACCAAACTAGGTAACATCATCAGTAGCAGAAGGGAGTGGAGTTTGCTATTATTTTCATATACTAGTGGATTACTCTGGCAGTGTTGATTAGTTGCTTCACAAACAGTGTTTTGATTGGTGCCAGGTCTCTACAGCCTTGGAGAGAGAAGGGCTATTCTCTGCACCCCTCTCTCAAATGTTCTTTAAAATACAGAGTTTCCCAGTATTCCTTTATTCCTCCAACATGCAAACTGTGGTTATTCATCCTAAAATGAATCCTCTTTACTGGAGCTTCAAAATTTGCTGTTTGCTGTTTGTAGCTAAAAGCCAGTCTACATTGAGTGTACATCTGACTTTGGGGATACTTCTTCATAACCAAACAAAAATGTATTTTCTGTGCAGTTCACACCACTTGCTTGCTGAATCTGGATGTCCCAAAGCAAAGCGCACATTTTGTAATTTTGTAATTAACCCCCGTGCCCCATTTTGACTGGCAGAGTGCAGCAGGAGTCTGAGTGCTATCCCCTGGCCACTGCCACCCAGCCACGGCCACCCAGCCAGTCATTAGGGCAGAGAACCAGTTGTTAGAAATTTGCAGCCCACCACTGAACAAATAGTACTAGAATTAGCATTCAAGAGAAATATGGTGAAAAGCAAATCATAAATGCTGTGAAAATGGTTTTTTTTAAAGGTAAGGTTGCAAGCATAACTCTATATATGCTTATAGATGTAGTTTGTTTACTCTAATCCTTTATGGCTGTTCAACTTGTTTAATTTATTTAATAAATGTATATGCCACAACTTGTTTAGTGTGTGTATAAAGACACACACATGCCTGACAATTGGAAGAGTGCCATTATTGTTTTCTACTACTGATAGTAAGACTGAAAGCAAAAATAATATAGGAGGTTCGTTTAAGTATGCCTGGATTGTGATTGATAGAGGATCAGCAGTGACAATAAACACATTTTGGGAAGTGCAATTTGGCTTTATGATAATCATGGAATACGCAGACCATATTATTCTCTTTAACAACTCACTAAGAAATGTATGAATATGAGGAAGTTTATTCAACATTTTATTAAGTTAAAGCATGTAATAATAATAAGTACTAATTCATTACATTTGCATGCTGCTTGACTCCCAAATGTTAAAACATTTAACATTTAAAGAAAATACTTTTCTTTCTTTCACCTGAATGGAGATTCTTCTCGTTGCAGGAGATGAGGCCACCAGTCACTGACCAGTAATTTTTCTCTTTTTCAATAATACATTACAAATGTGGATCACTGCCAAACTGCTTCTGAGGGTTTTGAAACTAAAAAGCCTAATGGTTAAGGTGACCAGATTTTCAGATTGGTAAAGAGGGACATCATTGACGGGGGGNATAAAAGTTGGCTGGGTGACTTTGGGCCAATCATCAGGAGACTGGGAGTTCTAGTCCCGCCTTAGGCATGAAAGTTGGCTGGGTGACTTTGGGCCAATTATCAGGAGACTGGGAGTTCTAGTCCCATTTTAGGCATAAAAGTTGGCTGGGTGACTTTGGGCCAATCATCAGGAGACTGGGAGTTCTAGTCCCGCCTTAGCCATGAAAGCTGGCTGGGTGACTTTGGGCCAATCATCAGGAGACTGGGAGTTCTAGTCCCATCTTAGGCATGAAAGTTCGCTGGGTTACTTTGGTTAGTTTGCGCCACAATGCTGGCCTTATAAGTCAGGGATCTCCAAACCTAATAACTTTAAGAGTGGTGGACTTCAACTCCCAGAATTCCCCAGCCAGCATTGGGGGATTTTTGGGGAGCCAGCTAGGGAATTCTGGGAGTTGAAGTCCATAACTTTTCAACTTGCCAAGTCGGAGATCCCATCCTTAGAAGATAAGCTGAAGTGACAACAACTGGTGGACTTCATCTTCCAAAATCACCCAGCCAGCATTGCTTTAAGAGGGTTGGGTTTCAACTCCCAGAATTCCTCAGCCGGTATGCTTCGACTTGTGGAATTCTGGGACCAGCTTGGGGAATTCTGGGAGTTGAAGTCCACAAGTTTTAAACTTGCCAATTTTGGAGAAGCTCCGCCTTAGAAGACCAGCTGAACTGCATGAATAGATGGACTTCATCTCCCAGAATTCTCCAGCAAGCATGGCGGATTCTGGGAGCCAGGTAGGGAATTCTGGATGACGAAGTCCACAAGTTTCTAAGTTTGGAAAATCCTGTTTGAAGGCAACAAGCATTTGGTACGTCAGGAAAGATTTGATGAGAGTTGACCTTGGAGAAAAATCCAAACATTTCCTTAAAACTCTGCTGATTGGGGAATTCTGGGAGTTGAAGTCCACAGGTCTTAAGGTGCCATGGTTAAGCCCTGATTTAGAATACAAGGATTCTGGCACAAACTAACCATCTTGAGTTAAGATCACCCAGAATGCTTGGGGGGGAAAAAAAACACCAAAAAAATCCCTACTTTAAAAGTTTGATCCAAAGTTCCTTTTTGTTCACTGACAAAAGACTTTTAGAAAATGCATGTCCTTGCCAGTGAAGGAAGTGTGCCTCCTATTTCATGTTATGCCTTGAAATCTATTTTAATGTATATGTTAAATATATTTTAAGCTTAGGCATTTAGATATATGTTTCCGGAGAAGAGAGAGCCATCAATCTGTCATAAGGATTTATGGCGTGAGAACCTTGTCCAGCAAAATGGATTAAACCGGTCAAACACTGCCATCTGCTGGCCAGATTGTGGATAAAACCATCAGAAAATACAGTCCTTGACTTACAACAGTCCCTTTGGTGACATCCATTTATTCCGGAACGTTGTAGGGCCTCCTGCTTGGGCAAAGTGTTGGATTAGATGACCTCCGAGATCTCTTCCGTTATTCTATGATTCTATAAGAATCTCCTGCTCAAGCAGGGGGTCAGACTAGAAGACCTTGAAGGTCCCTTCCAAGTCTGTTGTCTTATCGTAGAAGACACCTGAAGGTATCCTAGACCACTAAGAAACTTCAACGGACCCCCAAAGAAGTCCCACTTGAGTCATGAAGGGACAGGCTCAAATTTATCCTTCTTCAGACACATGCCATGAAGAGTGAACCATCTGGAGAAGGTTCAGAATGGTGGGACAGTAGAAGAGAAGAGGCACATCAACAGCAAAAGGGAAGAACTCGGGGACAGCAGTGACAAGGTCTCCATCGGGTAGAAGACTTGAAGGACCTCATTGGGCCTGAAGTTCCTGGAGAAAAAGATCTATCTGTGTGGTCACCAAGAATTGACCTCAACTTGATGGCACAGTTTGGGGTGATGGACTCAAGGGGTATTACGTGGGATGGCAAAAGCTCTGTGATTTTAGTCTGATTCTGCGTAGAGAGGATGGTTGAGTCCTTGGTGCTCTTGGCTGGCTGAGCTCCACCTCTTCCTTTCCTTACACCACACTCCCCACTAACAGATGATGGTATCAAGCTGGGTCATTGAAACGTCTGTAAGAAAGCCATCCAGCTCAAGAGAACAATCCTCCTTCTCTTCTCCATATATCCCAATCCCTTTTAGCACTGATGATATTCCCTCCTTCCATAATTGAGCGCCAAGGAATCCCTTCCGCTATTTTCAGGAAACCACTGGAACCAGCTTCGAAAATCATTCACCGGCTCGATTCCCATGACTCTTCGGACTTTATAAAAGTAACCTAGTTGGGGAATTTCTTGGCTAAAACTAAGATGGTTAGTTTGCGATACGATGTTGGACTTCTAAAATCTGGGCTCTTCAAACCTTGCCCCTTTTGAGTGGTGGGCTTCAACTCCCAGAATTCCCCAGGCAGCATGCCAGACTCCCAGGAATTCTGGGAGTTGAAGTCCCACGAACATTCGAATTGGCAAATTATATAGTTCATTGTCGTGAGGCAATAAATGAGTTTGTCAGAAAAGTTTGGATAAAGCAAAATATTTTGATCCCTTCCTTAGAATTCCACATTTGTGGACTCTCCTAGAATTATTTTATTATTATTATTCGCAACAACAGAATTGTATCACAGTGGCCAGTTTTCGCCGGATTTGGCATTGGTTCCTAGTCGGGCCCCACCCAGGGGCCTAGGACGTCATAACGTATTTTCGTAATATGCGTGCAGATCCAAGCAGTGCGGCTTTTTGCATTTGACTTGATGGTGATTTTGTCAATTTTTAACTGTTTTAAATGTAATCCCAGTGCTTTTGGAATAGCACCCAGTGTGCCAATTACCACTGGAATTACCATTCTGGTTTGTGCCATAGTCGTTGAATTTCGATTTTTAAGTCCTGGTATCTTGCGATTTTTTCATGTTCCTTCTCGGCGACCCTGCTATCACCTGGTATTGCGATGTCTATGATTGTGACCTTATTTTTCTCAACCAGTGTGATGTCTGGTGTATTATGCGCCAGTATTTTGTCGGTTTGTATACGGAAATCCCACAAGATCTTGACCATCTGATTTTCGGTGACTTTTTCAGGCTGATGTTCCCACCAGTTTGTTGCTGTTTTAATATTATAATTTTTGCACAAATTCCAATGGATCATTTGTGCTACTGAATTGTGCCGCAATTTATAATCAGCCTGCGCAATTTTTTTACAGCAGCTGAGTATGTGATCAACAGTTTCATCAGCTTCTTCTTATTATTATTATTTTATTTTCTGAGAAAACCCTTTTGTCTAGGATGGTAAAAGCGATTAGTGATTGTTTGAAGTTATGGCATTGAAAAGTGGGGCTTTTGGCAGTTTCTCATTCCCCAGGGCCACGTGAATGAAATGCAGAGGCTTGGCAGCTGACTCGCACATACGACCATCATGTGATCCCCTTTTGCGACCTTATGATGTTGCCGGATTCACTTAACCACCCCATTACTCCTTTTTACCACAGAGGCCGTTCACTTAATGACGGTGGCAGAAAATCTTGAAATAAACTCATTTGCGTTGCTTAGTGAGAAAAATGCTTTTTTTGTGTGTGGGGGAGGGATATCCATTGTGGCCTTTTGTTAAAAAAGCAGAAACTCACATCCAAAGGCGGCAAAAAACCACAAACTGGGTCCCCGTAATTGTTGCGTACACCGTTTAATATAAAATCAGCATTAGGGTTGAACTCACAAGGGGCTTTGTGGCACCAGGATTCAAACTCAGGACTCCACAAGCAACTCATCAATGGACACGAAATAGAATGGACAGGATATATATATATATATTTTACAAATCTTTTTGGATAACATCTGAAGATTGTTTAGGGCGCACACCCCGAGGTTAGAATATTTCCTAAAGGAGCCAGCCAAACCCCATCTAGGAAGTCCTCAGCTTATGACGGTTCCCAGCCCAAAGTGCTTCGCAATTCCATCGTCCGTCCTCACTGCATTCAAGCGGTTTGCGATATCCATTTTTCCTCAGAAAAGCACTTATCTCCAACTTCAAAAAGTGAAGAAGAAAAAATGAAGCGAGCCCACGGTTTCTCCCCACCCCCCAAAAAATTGTGGGTCTGCTTAACAACAGGGTGTTCACTTAATGACCACCACAAAAAATATAGGATGAAATCGGGTAGATTTTTTTAAAGGATCCTTTGAAAGAGAATCCACAACAGGAATCACCAGACTTGGCGATGGTTGTTATCTTGAGGACCAGATATTTCATAGGGATTTTTTTTAGCCCGTCGTGCCTGGCCTGCTTGAGTTATGACTGGAATTGCCAGACACGATGACAGTTGTTAACTTGAGGACCCTCTGGGTGACAGCATTTGTGCAACCCGTCATGCCTGGCCACGCTTTATGTAAGTCACAATCCCTTCTCAAGCAGAATTGGGAGAAAGAGGCAGATGTTTTAGCCTGCGCACAAACGCAGAATGCACAACTGAAGCGTAACACAACTGAAGTGTAGCGCAATTCAATGATTCTTCCGTGTAAAACATCACCTCTACCACCCCAAAAAAATTTTTTTAAAAGAATATATGCATACAGAGGTCCTCAAAGTTACAGCCAAAATACGATGACTGTTGTGACTTTGTGTAACATTTTTTTTGGTGTCTTGCATTTTTACACACACACACACCACAAATAAAAACATTAAGCTCAATATATCCTTTTTTTTGGCTAAATAATTTAAACATCTACGGTTTTAATAAGGTGTAATAAATACAACTGTGAATAGCATGATAGACAGCTGAAGTGTTAGAATCCTCTCTCGTTTCTCTCTGTCACAATGTTGTGGTTTTCTGGTGTGCACAAGCACCAGTGTCCCCCCCAAAAAAGCACATTTAACAGGAGGGTGACAGGATCTCAAGCGACAAATAACACCACAACGTGTCACAACCTTCCCCAGAAATGGATTAAAAAAGCAACTTCTTTGTGTTGGCGGTTTGATGATTTGTGGTCTAAATTCACTTCTGAAGGAAGCAGGGGAAAATATCTCAATTTTGGAGGAAAATACACACAACAGTGTGTGTCACAATATGATCCCCACCCCACCCCCCGAAAAGGTTGTCTGTGAGAGAAAAATCTGGAGTCGCCTCGGTTTCACATAGTGCCGACGCGGAGGGTAGAAATGGCAGCGAAGGAACAAAGCTCAATTTGTGGGTTTGAGCATAAAATAAAATAAAAAAATAAGGGATTTTTGTGACACACACAAAGGAAACATGATGTCAGGAAAAGTTGGGTGTGGAAGAGGTATAAAATTAGAATTAAATTTTGCTTTCTTTTTCCTCCTTCAGCGCAGATAAGGAAAACTATCCCTACGGTGGAGAGGAAGGGGAGAGATTCAACGGGTTTCTGACGACTTTGACTGAGGCTTCCAGACGTAATCCCGGATCATGCTATAAACCACACCTGGAAGAAAGAAAGAAAGAATAAGCAAGTTTGATGGGAGAAAATAATGTGTTGATGCAGTAACTGCGAAGGGGGGATCCTGGACTCCTAGCGGACGATCGCTTAACCATGAGCCAGCTGTGCGAGGTGGCAGCCAAAAAGGCCAATACGATCCTAGACTGCATTAACCGAGGGATAGAATCAAGATCACGAGAGGCGTTAATACTGGTTGATGAAGCCTTAGTAAGACCCTATGTGGAATATCGCATCCAGCTTTATTACAAAATATTATACTTTATATTACAAAAAATACTAGCCAATAACCCTGCGTTGCCTGTTTTTTATTTATTTATAGGGGGGGAAATGTCCGGACCAAACATAATTTCTCATGTTGGATTTTCCCCCTTACCAGAGGGAAACCCCCCCCCCCCTTTGTGGAGTTCTGTGAACAGGCTGCCTCTTAACAGGACACCCACCCTGAGTGGTGTTAGGGGTGTCTTACCCCCACAGTATTTGTCTCCAGATAGTAAGTCATCTGTGTACCAAGTTTGGTTGAAATTGCTCAAGGCGTTCCAGAGTTATGCTGGAACGAAGGAACACACACACACACACACAGAGTTGTTGGTGTGTGGGTGTGTGTATGTATGCATATGTACAGTTATAGATTTTATATATTAACCATATTATAAAATATTGTTAAAATATTACATTATATTGTGTTGTAAATTATATATATATATTGTTATATTACATTATAAAGTTACATTATAAAACATTATTGTAAAATAATAATACTTGTTTTGTAACAAATATTATAAAATAAATGTTATAAAATATTGTAAAATATATTGTATTATATTACATTTACATTAATTATATTATAATAAAAATAAAAAAATAATGTTGAGGCTCTAGTCTAGAAAGAGTGCAGTGGCGCAGTGGTTAAATGCAGCACTGCAGGCTACTGCTAGATCAGCAGGTCAGCGGTTCAAATCTCACCGGTTCAGGGTTGACTCAGCCTTCCA